AGCTATTTTAGCTGAAAAAAGAAGAAAAATTGTGCTCAGAATTACACACGCAGGGAGTCGTCAAATACTTGCAGTACTGTATTTGACGACTTCCTGATACACATGTAAACATGAAGAAACTCGTTGTGGTAGCACTCTTAACTTTTCTACTGCAGGTATGATTCTGCTGTGTTTTATTGTGGTTGCCATGTCTTTTGCTATGACGATGCCGTGCCGGCACTTTTTTCCTGTCTTCGTCTTTCAGTACTGTATAATCTCTGATCGAAGTCAAGTCGAAATGGAGATCATACATTGTTTGTAGATGAGTTTTGTTTTGGCTTAATTTCAGTGTATTCTCATGCATTGTTCTTTGGCCTCTGTACGCGTGCTGTGGTATTATTATTATTATTATACTCTCTGATGGCCTGTAGAAGACTTTTTTATTAGGGTATAGGAGAAATATCTTCATTTTTCCTGTTTTGATATTGATAGCACATCAATGTGTTGGCATTTAGGCTAGTTTCAACAGCAGCCCAATGGTCTGCTCTGTGGGCCATGTCATAAATAATTATTTGTTATCGCATGGTTGCTTGCTGCGGGCCTTATGGCATATGATTGCCCCTCGAGGTTAGTCCTCGGGCCTACGCCCCTCGGGCTAACCTCGGAGCAATAATATGCCATAAGACCCTCGCAACCATGTGATAACATAATACTTATTCTAAACAATGCAATATTAATTATTGTCTCCACGTAGCCTTTTTAATTCAAAATAACCTTGCAGTTAAATCCGACCATGTCCAGAGATGTTCGCATGTGTTGGCGAGGGGAAAATCCATATCTGCGATGACATGATCCTTAAATTTGGTGCATTTTACGCGCTAAATAGTGCCCATGGCATCTCTCTTTTTCCCATTTCTTATGCAGAGGAAAGTCGTTCACTAGCGCTCCGGTAGTTTCTCACAATGGCATACTCAATCTCTTCGGCATTCTGGAAACTGTCGTGGATATTAGCACATTCGTGCAACAAAGTGGCCTCAGCATTGTATGGCTTGATCCGGTAAGCATAATGTCCATGTATGAGCTGAAAACAGAAGACCTTAACCTTTATCATCCCGACCCATCAAGGAGTTGCCTTATCATTACGAAACTTTCCACATAAATGTATTTTGGTTGTGTGACCTATGTGACAAATTATTTTTCAATTCGGACCAAGGATAGCTGGGTTAGCTGAAAACGCAAGACCTTAACCCTCATTCCATGTTGACTTGTAGTCGTTCCCAGTATATTGGGTTCTTTTGGACCACAGGAACATTTTGGGTGGTATTCTTGAAAAACCTCCATTTTATGTAATGTTTTGCTGTGTTACCTTCCCATAGACCAATGCTTTGACCAAACTGCATTTTGTTGAGAGCTCTGAAGTTTATCGGGATTATTTGCAAGTTTGCAAGGATACCACCTAAAACGTTTCTGGGGTCTAAAAGGACCTCAATATACTGGGAACGTAGGAAAAAAGTCAACATGGAATGAAGGATTATGGCTATAGAAGAACATTTTCTTGTAGGGCCGCATACTTCAGTGCATGTCATCCATGTATTCGGTGACCATGGAGATAAATACCAAAACTATCGCAATTGTTGCACTTCCCTGTGTTCTATGTTACTGGGGTCCAGTTGGACCCCGCCTGCATTTTCCGTAATAAAAGTGAAATCCATCCTGAACCTCTAACCCAGATTATTTAGTTATCTCGGTTAATGTGTTGGTAAGGAATACAGGACGTTTCAGGGAGATGTGATGCAGAAAAGTAAACATAATTTCAAAAATCACACCCCTGCGGTCCGTTTGAACCCCACAACCCCGAATGAGGGTTAAGTGCGCACGACGCTTTAGGAGCATATTGATGACTATGAGGCGGCGAGAAATACCATTCGGTGATTCCATACTGCATTTACAATGGTCCTCTACCCTTCTTCATGCGCTCTTCAGCCGACTAGCTGCTACCCTCAGTAGCCATTACATACAACAGAAATTCCGACACTGAGGGATTACTTGTACTGATAATGACTTTAAACTTGACAGCTATTTTACGTGCATGTACAAGAAAGGAAGTCAGAGAAGACGAGACTGATTAGGATCACAATTGCTTTTACTGAAGAATATGGGCGCAATGTATTGAGCAAGGCGTGAAACTGAGAAAGAATGAAGCATTGCATTGCGAATAGCACGTTTACGCCTAAACTCGAAACGTTTGCAGAATAAATATTCCCACGAGAATCTACTCTCAACACGATGTCTTTGGTATGGTATGGTATTAATTTATTTGAATTCGGTATCTCAACAGTACAATCTACAACTTGGGAAGATCCGAATGACATAGATACATAAACATAAAAGTGGAGTAGGTGCTACAGCTGATCATTTTATCGCAGGTTGTGGGACTAAACTAATACAAGTATGCAAGTACACAAGAAATAAAAGCTGAATAACTACGACTACATGACATTGGGGAAAAGCACCAATTAAAGCCAAACAAAGCGACACATCACTCATTGAAAACATTTTCAAAAAGGAGCTGTGTTAACCGGGTACATTGTGGCCGGTCATTAATAAGAAGGCAAGCAAGATAGGCGTTAAATGCAGAAGACGTATTACAAGACGTCATTTCAAAGGGCAGAGCATTCCAAAGTAAAACAATCCTACTAGACAATGAGCGATACCCGCATGCAGTCTTATATCGGCATAATTATTGTTATTATTATTGTTGAACGGCCTATTATTGTTGAACGGCCTTGTTGAACGGCCTCTGCTGGGATGACAACTACACCATAGCTCAGTGGTTAGAGCATCGCTGGCTACAAGCGAGGGTCCCTGGTTCGAGTCCTGGTGGTGACAGTCAATTTTTTCTTCAGACTTTTCCCGTTTGTCTCTTTCCCTCAAACCAGTCAGTATTATTATTATTATTAGATAACAACACTCGTGACAAGGTAGAAAAAATTATCAAGTTTAGCACGACACAAAACTCGAAGGAAAATAATAATAGTGACAACAACATAGTGAGCAAATTAAGTTATATTGTTACCACCTCGACGAGGAGTAGGGGTGAAACAATTATACCGAATACTCGAGTACTCGCTCGGTTTTTTCAAACATAATCGTACTCGGAATAAAACAGAGTACTCGTTCATACATGGTACATGCATTTACCACAGAAATCTGCAGTTTCAGAGCAGCAGTCGGCAGATATTGATGTGCAGACTGTGTGGTGAACATTTGTTCACGAGTAGGGAGAGCCCAAATGACCCACCAACCAATATACCCGAGAAAAATGACCGCTACTCGGTTCAATCAGGGTTGTATCATGATGTGATCTTAAGGCCCTTGGTGTGCAATTTTTAGGAGATGAAGAATACTCGAATACTCGAATATTCGATCGGAGATAATCAGAGTACTCGAACTCGGGATCTCAGTGCGAACTTTCACTCCTAACGAGGAGTAACACTAAACAATTGTAGCGACAACACATTTTCTTTCTGTACGCAAAGTTCAGGATCTAACTTACGGATATACAAAGCTTCTAACACAGTCAAATGTAAAGCACATCTACCACGTGACAATATTGAGAAAACATTACCACTGTACAACTCACAGTGATACTTCGCACTTCGTCAATCAAGCAACATCTGTCAGCCCGTATCAATTGTCGTGAGTTGTACAGTGATAATGTTTTCTCAATATTGTCACGTGGTAGATGTCCGTTACATTTGGCTGTGTTAGAAGCTTTGTATATCCGTAAGTTAGATACTGAACTTTGCGTACAGAAAGAAAATGTGTTGTCGCTACAATTGTTTAGTGTTACTCCTCGTCGAGGTGGTAACAATATAACTTAATTTGCTCACTATGTTGTTGTCACTATTATTATTTTCCTTCGAGTTTTGTGTCGTGCTAAACTTGATAATAATAATAATTATTATTATTATTATTATACGCACGTCCGCGTTTACGTCAACAGTAAGTCCACGTATTCGCATGTGCCAGAAGACAGGCAAAGTGGGCAGAGAGGAAAACAAAAACAAATAAAAGTAAAAAATAAATGTAAGACAGCAGGCGATAGGCACATAACTCATGTTCGATGATAGGTGCTCAATGCACGGGATCTATTCGAAAGATCAACAAATATAAAAAAGAATAACAGACAACGACGATAGGTTTGTAACTCATGGTCGATCGACTCATGGTCTCATGGTCGACGACTCATGGTCTCATGGTCGACGACTCATGGTCTCATGGTCGACGACTCATGGTCTCATGGTCGACGACTCATGGTCGATGGTAAGAGTGATGGTAAGTGCTAAATGCACGGCATAACGAAAGCTTCAAATGGCCAGTGCCAATGACAGGCGTATATTTCCTAGTTTTTTCTGCTGTGTCCTCCATAATCATGTGTCTACAGGCGAATCTACAGCAATTTCTGAAGCAAAATGTGTCCTATGGGTGGTCTACTATCGGAGCCAGTATTCGTAAGCAGTACAGGAGTATTGGACAATGCGCACTAGATTCGAAGATTCACAGCCCCTTGGTAAGACAAAGGCCAGGATACCAACAGAAGCCATGGGGAGGTTGTGGTATGAAATGAGCTGCTTGTATTGTTACTGTTTCTATTGATAAAAAAATCTGCTGGTTCACCGCCCTGTCAATAGTGAGAATGAAATGAAGGGTGGTAAACAACCACGGCTAACTAAAAACTACATTTACGAATGAGAGAGAAAAGAGAACGGAGGAAGATGATTAATATTATTACATACACTTTCAACCTTCAAGTGGTTATTCTTACCAAAATGACGATATTGTCTGCCCCGTACGTCTTGTTGTTTGCAGTCTGGTTCAATTTCTGTGAAGACTCACTAAGAAGAATCTCCGTTTGAAGGCAATAGCTTCGGAAGATATAATTATTATTTGTTTAAACCATCAAGAACTGTTGCGACTACGTGTACTTATGTCAGTGTGTTGATTATGCCTCTCTAGCTGAACTTCGGAAAAAAATGCTACATCCAAGTCGATCCGATTGTTCTCCTCGACAACCGACCCGCGTCCAAGAGCTACCAGATGGGCTCAAGAAGTAATGGGTCTTGTGCAACATTCGGTGCCACTTTGGTTGATACAAATCCACTGAACAATGAAGGCACAAGCATGGACCAATGGCACCAGTGCGCTGTTAGTAACACGTCTATTTTTGCTGTAACTAACCCGAACAATGCGCTCGGCAAACTGTTAAACCTCAGCACCGCCTGGATTCTGCTGGGACAATCAAGTACGGAGTGCTACAAGCATCTCGGTAACATCTGGCTATACAAGAGAAATCAGTGTAGTATGGAAATGTTGCAGGAAACGTACATAATGAAAAGGTAATAATTATTACGGTTTATGGAAATCGAATATTGAATCTAAACAAAGTGCGATTTCCGTGCGACATTCTCATCCATACTAAACCCACCCTCAAAAATCTTTCGAGGAAACACGCAGTAGTACACAGCATGGGAATTTATCCAATACCTAAAATAAATCGAAGTCGTTCAAACAAAGACTTTCCAGCTTACTACAGAAGTCCTTTCACACCGCACGGAATATATGCACGTTTATACACCCTTTGCTCTTTAGATTGTCTGCAGGACAATCCGACAGCGCACTTCAACTCCTTGCCAAGCGAATTGGCGGTAACAATGTTAGGGACCTCAGCAACATTATTATTTCTGGATCACTTATCTTGGCACCATGGTCGCATTTTAGCGGCATTCACTGGAGCTCTTCAGCTGGAAATAGATCTGGGCGGATCCTCTCACGAATTACGTTATACCCAGCCCCAGGAGAGCATATTACTGTCAATATCCGCACCTATGATGACTTACTGTCGACGACTAGTTCTCGAATGAAAGTTCAGGTAAGTTTTAGTTTGGCAGAATTATTAGATTGTTTTTGAAATCGGGAGGTTCAACTGGTCTGGCGGTTTCTTTTCCTGAGATGTGAAAATTGGGGGGGGGGGGGGGGAGAGGGGGAGGTGTATTCTGTACGGGGAAATTGCCAAACCCTGTAGAGGGGACGATTTTTTGGGTTTGTTTGTTGTTAATTTAATTTACATCGCATGGAAAACGGGCAGTTTAGCCCAATATTATGAAAGCGATGACAACCAGTAAGAAGAGTCAGATTTCAAATAGGATATACGTCGCAAACAGGACCGGGCTCAGTGTTCACCTTCTCTCTTGGAATTTTGATTAGAAAAGATGATAATGTTACAGTGAGATTCCGATGTGTTTTACGCCCAGCAAAAAGCTCATGGTTCCGCGCAGACTGGAAGCGCCATACCAAGCAGATGGGTTTTTTACGTGTTTCTTCGCACTGCGCCTTGAGTTGAACGTTTTTCGAAAAATCAACTTATTGTCGCAGTTTAATGAAAACTAATGGAAGCACACACCACGCTTATTGTTTCTCTGTACTGAGCGTCGTGGAGCGATAGCAATTACCGAATTTCAGAAGTCAGTGTTAACTTGATGTGGACTCCAAAACTGTTCCTGTTTGAAACCACCTCTGTGACACCAGAATTTGAAAAGAATAATAGGGCAACGGGCCAACCCAAAGGAGTCAATCAGTTCGATTAACTCTGGCCTCAGTGCAAACCTCAATATGCCAGTCTCCTTCCACAAACATATTTCGAGTGAACAATCCGCGATGATGATCCGTCTAGGTCTACACAATTTTTCTGTCAAACCGGTCCTAATTGAAGCCGTCGCAACCAATGAATTGAAGGCTCCACATGACACCTTGTTGTATTGCATGTAATGGGAGAACATCCCCCGAATAGCACCTAGTGTTGTATCTAGGTGAAAGTTCTGACAAGCAAGCTATGGCCACCTAACCAACAGGCTCTAGGAGCACACTGCAGGTGATTATGATAGGAGAAAATATGGGTACCGGTATTAGTGACGACTCTTGAACTGCAACTGCTTGTGGCCGTCACTTTTACGACAGTGTGTCTTTCGACGCTCTCTTCACCCTTTCTCCCATTACTACACGGGCACAAACTTTACTAAAAGCACACGTTATGCCTCTCATAGTAGAAGTTGGGTCGATCTCCAATGCAACCTTTCGCGTTTGTCTCGAAATAGAGTTTGCAATGCACTATGAATATAATAATGTATTATGTATGTCCTGCAGTGTGGTTTTACATTATGTAATAAAGGGCCTTTGATATGTTGGACTAGCAGATTGGGGTTTACATGAATTCTTTCATATGCATGTGTACTGCCAAACATTGCAGATTATCAGTGAGGATAATGTTCACATGCTACGCTATGGAGCAAGAGATAGAGGGCTGTATGAGCACCTGGGAGAGATGTACTTTATATCCAGCTCACCTCTCACCGGTATAGCACTTGGCGGCGAACCAGGAGCACGAGGATATTTCCGGTTTATGTTGTTGGATGATACTGCCAAAGAACAGAAGTCTCAAGATGGATTCTACTTGGATGTTCCATTTGAGTTGCGACCTTGTTTTGGAGGCTTTCATGGCCCTGTTTTAGCGGTAAGGCATCGAAGAGTAATAATGAATATATCTGGCTCTTCTAGTGTATGTTTTCGTGTATGAATGTGTTTATGTATGTGGCTTGATTGTGGGCATGATTGCGTTCTATTTCCATTCTGTTTTTGACGTAGTCCAGTAACTTTTGGGTAAATGATTCATTCGCCTTTTGTTGTATTTATATTCCTGTCACATAACAAGTGTTGGCCCCTGTGGCTCAAAGGACAGTGTGATCACATCCCACCCGGACGGAGTTGCACAGGTACTTATCGTGGGATCAAAAACCGTAACCACTTTGTTGTTTGGATTTATTGCCGTGTGCAATGGCTACCGAGGGTAGCAACGTGCCGGCTGAGATCAAAGGAGGAGAGTCTTTTGCATTAATTATTATTATATTATTTGAGGGATTCCCCAAAGGCCGAAGCCTAAATCAAGGGGTCTCCGAGAATAATAATACGTGTACAATGCGTGTACAATAGGGTGCAACTCTTAAAAGGAAGAAAATATTACGATACAAAAAGATTAATGTGAAGAAGTTAAATAAGAAGTCTGAGTAGAAGCAAGCGAAAAGGGTACTGGTAAAGAAGTATAAATATCAAAACATTGTAATTGTGTGTTTCTTGATATATTTTTATTGTACATCAGGTGACCGTAAAGTACCAGCCACTGACTCCGCTGACTAAAGTGTGCTACTGTATAAACTCTACGGCGATACAGAAGTGCAGCAAGGGTCGCTTTGTGCACATGAAACCAGGCTATTGGGCCGGTAACGTAGCAACCAATAGCCGTCGCGACTCAGAAAAGGAACCTCTTGATTGGAAATCTACTGCTGAATATTTGGTGTTTGAAACGGAGAGCAACATTTCAAATAGCACGTTCAAAGAGACGCGGGCTTATGAATCATTCGTCGATTACCCGTTCGGTATTGCACAGTGCACGAATGGCCTTTGCAGTAGTAGTGCGTGGCTGTACAATGGATCCGGAACGCTAGCATGTGTTGGCAATGCCGCGGGTATCTTGTGTGGAGAATGCAGAGCCGGCACAAGACTGAAGCTAGCATTAGCGGTAAGAATAGTAGCATGGCCTACAGAATATTCAGGTGACACTGATGCATTCTGGTTCAGCTCTCAGTCTGGTGTGTTGCAAACAAGCTGGCTTTGCCATTTCTTCGATATTTGTTAGGGGTGAAAGTTTTCACCGAGATCCAGAGTTCGAATACTCTGATTTCCTCCGATCGAATATTGACGCATTCGAGAATTCTTCATCTCCTTAAATTGCACATCAAGGGCCATAAAATCACATGATACAGCCTTGATTGAACCGAGTGGAAGTCATGTCTCTCGGGTATATTGGGTTTCCTTTGGTGGTGGGTCATTTGGGCTCCCTCTACTCGTGAACAAATGTTCACCACACAGACCGCACATCAATATCTGACCACTGCTGCTCTGAAACTGCAGATTTCTGTGGTAAATGCATGTGCCAAGTATGAACGAGTACTCTGATTTTTCCGAGTACGGTTTTGTTTCAAAAAACCGAGCGAGTACTCGAGTATTCGGTATAATTGTTTCACCCCTAAAATTTATATTTTTTATTTGGTAACCCTGAGCGACACACACTTAGCATGTTTGCGCAAGCCTTTCTCTTGGACATGTACAATCGTCGCGGAACTAATCCGGCCAATACTGCATGTGCAGCATTGGCCGGTTTTTTTTTGCCGACGACAGTACATGATTGATTTTACTTGCCTCTTCCGTGTCGGTGTACAGCAATGCGCTGATTGCTCAATGACGTTATCTATCCCACTATGGGTATACGTCATAGCCATGGTGGTTATGACAGTCCTGACATCCATTCTGCTCTTCTACTTCAATGTTGGCCTTTCACCAGTTCTGGATAGCTGGCTGTTCTTTGTGCAGGTAATATTGGTTATTATCCGTTTTTGAAATACATATCACATGAGCCGCAATCAGCGAAAACGACCCTTAGAGATTTCGTAATTTTTTTGGGAAAAAGGTCGATTTGTGACGTTCAACAATTTTTTGATCGCGCTGCAAACAGCGCGACGACTTCTTGAACTCCTTGCTTGAAGTAATTATTTGAAGTTGAAGTTGTGTCGTGTGGCGACTCCAGTGTTCCTTGATATTGTTGCGATGGCTGCGGACGCCAGAGCTGTTCGCAGAGCACACACGGCAGTCATTGTGTACAGCTAGCTCGAGCCTGGTGGGGTGTGAATGCTGAAGTAGCCGCTGAAGTTCAGAGTGAGGATGAGACGTTCTTTGGTTCCGACATCGATGTCGACAGCGAGGCGGAGTCGCAGCCGTCATCTCCTGCTGCGATGCGGCTCAAGGTGGCCGATGACTGGTCAGAGTCGGAAGATGAGGAGTCGTCTGAGATAAATTTTGAGTCTGGGGCTAGTGAAGGCAGCGACGTCGTGTCTTCAGCTGCGGAGGAAGAAATGGAAGACGAGATTGCGGAGCCACTACACGCAGGATGCAGCTGCGAATATGTCGATCATTTCTCCGCACTGCTCAGCTATTCTTTGTCATTATTGCTTACTGCACTATGTCAAAAAGTATTCAAGCTGCCCACCCACCTTAGAATACTGAATATTCATTGTACACATACATCGTATACATACATTGCACCAATTTGGGATACATCTTGTATATTGGTGTAAACACCCATTTAGAATCGGAATATTGAACTTTTTCTTGGCTGAGGTCCTTCAGAAGATGTGTTTCAACAAATTTCTAATCAAAAAGGAATTTTGAAAATGTTGACCCTAATGGCTGTTTTCGCTGGTTGAGGCCCACATAATGAAAGGATATTTCCATGTACATGCATATCAGTTGGCGAAACTTCCTTTGAATCAGGATTTTTTATCAGAGAAACCATGCGCATGAAGCCTGATTGAAGGCACCAGACAGCATGTTGTTCGATGATGCAACTTCAAATCTCGTTCTTGGTTTCAAATAGTAAAACACAGGTCAAAGATTAAAGAATTCAAGCGGAATCATATTATGTTTTCGTATTCTGTAACAAACTACCAATCAGAAGAAAGGTCACATGATGACTAGAATAGAACGGAAGATCATACATCAAGAAAGTTATGAAGCAAGGTATCAGTGATGTGCTGTGTTCGGAAGGAACTCGTAGTGCATGTATGTTGAAACTAGAGCATGCCATGATTTCTGCTTCTTTTGGTTGTTATTCAGACGTCTTGGTACATCTTCCCGAACGAAGTTACATTCGTCTACAGCAGCATCTACACCGTGTTGACTTTTGGACTCGGACACGTGTGTCTCAAAGAGGACCTATATCGACTTCAAGTCAGCACTCTACTCCTCATCCAACCAATCACACTTCTTCTCATCTTCCTGGCTATACGCATTGCACGATCGCACAACTATCTTGGAACACGATTGGCAAGACTTCAGAGCCACATGAAACTAGTGCGAGTCATGTGGTTTGTTCTGGTTTACAGCTACTTTATGCTCACCTTCACAGCTCTCAGTGTGTTCTGGTGTGTGCAAATCAACGACAGGCAGGTGCTTGCCATGGATGGTTCAGTAGACTGCTATGTTTCACCACATCGAGGCTATGTCCTGGCAGCAGTCGCAATCCTAGCCATAGTTATCCTCCCACCGCCGTTTCTATTACTCACTCGACGAACCCATGGTCATATCATGTTGAAGGGTTTCGTGGACGAGGCGTGCTGCATGTACACTGATGAGTGCCGCTGGTGGTCAGCTGTGAACCTGTTGAGGCGTATTGCCATAGGCCTGCTTGGATCACTACCGTTTTCGAGCGCGGTGTCCAGACTGTTGGTGACATCTGGATTCCTTCTGCTACTTCTGATGGTGCATAGCAAAGTTCGGTACGTTCATTTCTTGCTTTTTGATCCGTGTTACAAGGCAAATGTTGAACTGTTGCTGCTTGGGTGTCGAGTACACCATGGCTTAGTGGTAGGGATTCGCTGGTCATAAGCGAGCGTCTCTAGTTCGAGTCAAGGTTTTCTTCACACCGTTCCCCATTTCCAACTTCCCCACAAACTAATGAATATTTTGCACAGCCTTCAATCATATGAATATATAGTGAAGAACGGTAGCGGTGGTGAGATCCGACCAGATTACTCGACCATGGGTCTCTGTGTCATTGCTAGCTGGGTGTACCGACAGGAAAATATTAGGGCCAGAAGAAAAGGACATGTAAAATTGAAGAAGAAGAGGATATTAGCCAAGTTTGGTGACTGGCCAACATTGTGTCTAGGCCAAATAGTGCTGTGAGGTAAAATGTGTAGAAGCAGGAATATTGGTCTGGTCATAAGTGTCATAATTCTTGTAAATCCACTCTTGAAACTTGTCAACGCCATGATTAGTTAGTGGAGTTTTCTCAACCTGATACTGTACCCTCCGCGAGTGTGGAGTGGATGATTGAGTTCACTCACAACTGGCGCCTGTCATTCCTTGTCGCAGCCAAACAAGTCTCTGCGTGCAATTATGTAGAAGTGCTAGACGATGGCACAGACGAAGCGAATTTTATCATCCTCCGGCTGCATGACTTTAAAATTTCAGTTTGTGTGGCTTTTCTGCTTCCTTTTTCAGGCCTCTTCGGAAGGGTGATTTTTCGGGTGTTGGCTACAACACATGGGAGTCGTTCATGCTCTGCATTTCCATCTGTATCGCAGTACTCTACAGTGTCATGTACGCGTCGCAGATGACCGAAAACTATGTGCTATGGGTCTGTGGGGCACTCTTCCTTACGCCCACTGCGTTGGTGCTGACAGCACTCCTATACCGACAATGCCTAGCCAAGGAAGGAGGCTACGGAAGATTCAGAACCCTCTCCGCTCGCCGCATGTGGCGGCGTCGGCAGGAGAGACGTAGACGGGAGAGAACCGAATCACATCTGGACGAAACAGCCTTGGCCAACTTGATAGGCGGCATCAGAGACCCACTCTTAGTTGATAACATCCGTGATCAACAAGAGGGTCGTCTCTAAATTATGTTGTGTAACCATGCACCTGACAGATCTTCTATAACACGAGAAGCTGTATTTGCTGTAAATTAGCCTCTAATTTTTAAGTAGTAGTAAGCACTCCCCAATTATGATCTCTCAACGCTCACATGACGATCTCCACGCAGAAGTACCATACACGTTCAAGCACATCTTTCTCCCCCTCAAAAGCAATGAAGGAAAGGCCTGGATACGCATTATTGGTACTAAGACACTAATAACTATGAAGAGAGGAATGGAGGAGTATCTGGTCTTCTGTAATAACGTTGAATGACAACATGTTGCCAAATGGATCTTCTACATTTGTATGCATATTGCAACACACATTCTGTATTGGATTACTTCAAGCTTCAAGCAATCGCCTATTCGCTATTTGTCCTGGTATCCGTAGCGGATCCTTTCTTTTTACGAAAAGCGTAATTGAATATAATTATTCATTGCTACGATCATGCATTATGTGCTTGCGCGGCTCTCCCGATCTATATTACCACCTGGAGGGTGATTCGGAAGAACAACCTTCCATATTGGCTGTGGCAACAGAACGATAGGCATTTGGAATTTTACATGTTTTTCTACTTTTGGTGTTTCAATGTTTTTTTTCTTTTCATCTTGCATGTACATGTTCGTACCAGCCTTTTATTCTTACTCCCCCCTCCGTATCGTCATGCTCATGGCGTTGGCTCTTTTCTTCGGTTGGGGGGAACAGAGTCCCATGCCGTGTAAAACATTGAATTGTACGCCATATCCATGAACTATTCATTTTTTCACTCCTTAGTTGCTCATAAACTAGACAGGTTCATTGATTTACACTGGAAATCTAAAATACTGTGGTGAGTGTTCTGCATGCCAGCATGAGTGACTGCAGGATAGCCACTACGCTACCGTATTTTTAGGCGAGACTGGATCTTGGAGAACTGCACAGTCTTCATCATGTGATCTCCAACACGAGCTAGATACGTTCTTGTTCAGTATACTACAATGAGAAAACCAATCATCTATTCAAAATGAGGGTAGATCTACCATCACCGTCCCCATTGCCGTCTTAGACGCCGAATTTTGGAAACTTCACCTCAGAACCTCCACCAATGGGCCTTTTAATTATGTGATATATCCCCTGATGTACGTATCGTCTATAGCCGTTATGTTGGTGGTGGTAGTCAAGATAGACGATGATTAGTAGGTCACAGTAGAGCCATTCTAAGATTGATGCAAGAGTCGAACAACTAGTGGTAATCTAATTCTGTCAAGGCTCTCTGCAGGGTCAGAGGCAATTATTATTATTATTATTATTATTAAAAGCATGTCCGCGTAGGTGGCGGGGTGCCACTTTCGCTTATGCCATTAAGGACTGATGTCTGAAGAGTAATACAATATAATGAAATGACAGAAGTGACGTCAACAAAAGCCGTTAGCAACAATACCAATAGGACTAATGGAAAACTTCATCCAAAGTATAAAATAAAATAGAATATGCATACACCATGTCTTGCGGAATCGCGAGGCAATCCCACTAGTTAAGTTTATTGACCTGTCATGACTCTTCAAATTAAAGGTAGATAAACAGAATGGTCATCTCCAAATGAAGTGCCAGGGCAAGCGTGAAGGAATGATTCCTAATCTGGACATTGTGTATGTACAGCAAGACTTCGATACAATAATATTATGACTTAGAGTAGCCATTACATTCCACAACAATATTGGCCATGAAGCGAGAGAAAGTTGCATTTAGCGAGTTGTCAGGATGTTTGTTAACATCTCCAGCGCTTATATTTTCTGAGATAACCAAAGAAAAAATCGACAGCAAACTGTTAAACCAGCATTAGGTAACCGTGAATTTGTGGGCTTGTCATGAGATACTTTTCTCTCCCCGTCTCTCTTCCTCTTTCATTTCTCTTTCCATCATTCTCCCTCTATCTCTTGTTCAAGAAATATCCTTCCTTAACGTGACATATGGCTGCCGTCTGTGTTCACTGACAAGTCCGGTATGAAAACACATTTACATGTATATCACGAAAAATGTTACCCCTGCAAAGTTAAATAATTATTATCGATAATTGGAGTGAATAGAGTATCCATGTACTTTAGATAATATCGGCTTTTGAACTTTTTGATGACCATTTTTGCTGCTTGCCCTTTGCTCATGCGTCCACGAACACAGCGCCAGGTGATGGGGGTGCGCCTGCTGTACGGCTTTTTGACAGGGTAGGTGAGCGTGGATGTAGTTTCGGTGGATTCTGAGAGAGATACTCCATAGCTGTAGAAGCAGGAATTGGAAGTTGCTGGGAGGCTCCCCTCATATTACGCTGCGGTGAGGTGGAGACGCCAAGGGTCGGCTCAGCTCTCAGCCTGCCATCCGTGCGAGGCACTAGAACCAAGTAGGGATCTGATTCGGTTGTGCTCTGCTGAGGACCGGGTAAAGACTTACGGCGCAAAGCCATAGCGTTCGGGCGTGCCGGTAGAGATCGTCTGCCGTGATCGATATGCGATGGATGGTTATTAGTTCTCGTGGTGTGTAGCTGCTCGTATTCTTCCCAGAGTATCGGTGATTGACCACGACTAGGTACTGGCGAGGGTGGCGGAAGAGATAGTCTCGCTGTTGTTTCAGCGCAAACTCTTATCTCCTCAACGGACTTCAGGGCGGCGGATTGCAGGATGTAAGTGTGGAGGGAATGTTGGAGTTTGCTCGGATTCGACTGCCTGGGCCTGCAAACTTTGATACGGCGACTGAGATATGTTGACATCTGTATCCTCACTGGCGTGTAAACATGAGAGGTGTTGGGTTCGTGGCACAGAGCAAGTAGCCATTCTACCGTCTTGGTACCTTTGAGGCAGTACTTTTTTCCACTCACTGTGCTACCCTGGTTTGTGTGTATCTCCTGCAGTCGCACGGGGAACCTGAGCTTCTTGTTGCGTACGAGCTCTTCCAATGCAAGCACAGTGTAAGATGTGTGCTCGGCGCTTGCCATGAAACCACAGTGAGCAGAAAACCCTAGCTGGGTTGGACGCGACTCGGCCTTACGAAGAACACTTCACTGCATAGGTGCATCGCTGGTCGTGAAATAGCATCGCTCCCATGTAACGCATAGCTCTCCGGTTGAAGTCTTGCTGATACGATTTCCCACTCGGAAAACATCACCATCATACACAGAAAAATCGTCTCTGTTGGACATCCATCCATTTTTTGCCCTGACGTACACTGGTCTATCAGTCTAAGCCAAGGTCAAGATATCCTCAACGCCTCCGAATGTAACACCGTCGAAACGTGGTTCGGGTGAGAGAATACTAAACTGCCGGGATTTCTCAAAGCCGGTTGTGGCAAGCTCGATCTTGCTTGCCTCGTCGTGAATCTCCAACATATCCTCCTTTTTCAAATCTAGGGCTATCAATTCGCATCCCTGTAAACGAAACTCGTTTCCATTTCGCTCCAGTCGACTACCTTTGCAGTCAACCACTTCGACAAGGTCCGGGAAAGAAACACCATGAACGTATTCATCCAAACTCGTCATATTCATTGGTGTTAAATTTCATACCATGTCATGGCCAATCGCAACCCTCTTCTCACCCTGATGTGAGCGTCTAACGCTACTGTCGAAGAAAGGGAGATCAAAAAGAGTAGGTTATAGTTGAGCTAGTCGCGCCACACCGGGCGTCTTATCCTGACTGAAGTCCTTTGAACTGCCAAGTCAGTGAATCATCCATCTGATAATGATGAGAGGAAAAAAGTGTTTCACCGTGCACATGCAATAGGTATACTCAACTCGAAGAAAAACTGTCTAATATGGACGCATTGCTGCTAGGAGGATCTTACGTTCCTACAGTTGTGAAATGAATATAATAAGAGATTGACTTTATATGTCCCCAGGTCATGAACGTTCGCATCCTGGACCTGTGACAAAAAGGCTTCTGAAAGGCTAAGGACAGCGGATTTGTTGAGTTAAGGGGGCAGCCTACCCATAAATTTCATATGGCATTCAATTGACCGTAACTTTGGTGTTTCTCAATGGATTTGAGTGAAATTTTGACCACACACTCCTGCCACTATGCTGGCCCACAGGATATGATTTACAAGTTCTTGCGCCTCACTGACAGGCTTTCCAGGCCGGAAAAACTCAAATTTCCGGCATAGTGCCACGGTGTGCGAGCCACCCAGGAGCCAAACAAATGCATTTACAATTTTTTTCACATTTTCGTGCTCATTCTGTTCGTGCGCGGGACTCAAACCTAGAACAAGTCCAGAAGCAGCCATGGGTGATGGGGTAGGGCCCCTCGACGAGGCCCTGGAATCTGTCACAAGGGAACGAGTGGGCGTTCTCTCACACACTCCCACAGACCCAAGCCAATTTTTGAATTTTTTTAGGTTTAGCACGTGCTACGAGGTCGTACCTTTGATACAACATCCAGTGCTGGGACCTCCACAGCAAGCGATTTCCACAGCGCTGCACACCAAATCCAGGATACCCTCAGAAACCGGCAAAGACTACCACTCACGTTTCACTACTGCCTAGTACTGAATCCTACCTGACTTCTTGACACGACTCAAACTTGCCAAAGTCACTAAATCAACGTCAACTACAATAATCAAGCCACATATCTGCAACGTCACGAGGGTGCTGGCAAAAGTCGTGCAGCCCAATACGTGGCTCAAAAACCTGAGCTTTTGGACTTGGAGCAAAATTCTGCACACTTTCACGTGTTTCCATGATACGACAAGTTGCGCACGGTCTGCTCACATTCAAATACAGTGCTGCCAACAAACGACAGCGTGCAACAAAAAAATCTTTCCTTGCAAGGGCACATTTTCGGCCATAACTCTTGAACGGCCGGTCAGATCGGGACACAATTTTCAGAGAATTTGCAGCTATTCATGCTCTTTCAACTGACGTAGCACTCAATATGAATTTACAAATACGATTTTTCAGCGAATTTTTGGGTAGTCTGCCACCTTAAGACTTGAAATGGAGTGTTTCGACTCCGCCGTACCGAGGAAGGATGTGTTGAATTGAGATTCGGAGACATCAGACAGCATGCTGCGCGGATGCTTTCGAATGGCCAGGAATCCACAGGTCACGCACCCATAAAAGAACCGTAGGCATTGGATGGTAGCCCTTGGGCTATAATGCTCATACAATTTGTAGATTCAGCTCCAAAAAAAGGGAAAATGGCGGAACCATCCAGAACTTGTAGCAGGCACCTCGCTGAAATCTGCTCCATTACTCGATCAACATCCCAAGCAGTCTGAAACATACTAAATTATGCCACATACTCTGTTGTCAAAATCCAGCAACGGCTACCGATAGGGGACTCCAGAATAGGCTTTCCCCAAATCGGCTGGCCGAAAAATATTTCCGAAAAATCGGCAAGCCTTCCGCCGATTTTTTTAGGGTTTCTTTGGGAATCGCCGATAACCTACGAAAATTAATGTTCTTGCAAAGTGCGTTTACGAACGAATGATGTTGTTGAAAGCATGACCGCTGGAGCTCTATACTTCAATACTTGTAGTACTAATGCGTTGAGGTCGGGTGACTCGTGTTGTTATGAACCCTCTAAGATTCTCTAAATTGTCAGGATCGTACGACCACACGGCACGAGGACAACTCTTTCCTTTACACAGTATATTTCACTTCATCGAGCAATTAACAATGAACATTAATAACACCAGCTATTTATAGCATGCAAAACAGCGTACATGCAAAAACATACGCATATAAAACTGGACATAACAGCGTATACAGCAAAACGCACACAGCGCATATAGCGTATGCCATGCAGCAACATCAGCGGTACGGCGGA